AAAATCTTCTTCTCAAGAACCATTAGGCCAGAAAAGCTGAAACTTATGTTGAAGCATCCTGGGGTAGTGTAGATTTTAAATTGTTAAAATCATGACCCCCGGGGAAAGGGCGGGGCCACAATAGGGAATCCAAGTTTTACATTGAAATGCATAGAAAAAATCTTTAAAAATCTTCTTCTCAAGAACCACTTGGCCAGACAAACTGAAACTTATGTGGAAGCATGCTGGGGTAGTGTAAATTCTAAATTGTAAAAATCATGACCCCCGGGGGAAGGGCGGGGCCGCAATAGGGAATCCAAGTTTTACATTGAAATATATAGAAAAAAAATCTTTAAAATTCTTCTTCTCAAGAACCATTGGGCCAGAAAAGCTGAAACTTATGTTGAAGCATCCTGGGGTAGTGTAGATTTTAAATTGTTAAAATCATGACCCCCGGGGAAGGGCGGGGCCACAATAGGGAATCCAAGTTTTACATTGAAATATATAGAAAAAAATCTTTAAAAATCTTATTCTCAAGAACCATTAGGCCAGAAAAGCTGAAACTTATGTTCAAGCATCCTTGGGTAGTGTAGATTCTAAATTGTTAAAATCATGACCCCTGGGGGCAGGGCGCGGCCACAATAGGAAATCCAATTTTTATATTGAAATACATTGAAAAAAAAATCTTCTTCTCAAGAACCACTTGGTCAGAAAAGCTTTTTGTAGAAGCATCCTGGGGCAGCGTAAATTCTAAAGAATTCAAATCTTGACCCATAGGTGTAGGGCGGGGCCACAATAGGGAATCCAAGTTTTACATTGAAATATATAGGAAAAATTTTCAAAAATTTTCTCCTCAAGAACCTCTTGGCCAGTAAAGCTGAAACTTATATGGAAACATCCTAGGGTAGTGTAGATTTTAAATTGTTAAAATCGTGATCCCCGTGGGTAGGGCGGGGCCACAATAGGTATTACAAAAAGATCATCTGGTGAGGAACAGCAGGGCCAAAGTTATTCAGGTGAGCGTTGTGGCCCATGGGCCTCTTGTTAAATGATACCACCAAATTTTCACTAATTATTGATTATTTCTTCTTGAAAGAAGGTGTGGCCCCTCATTTGAACAAACTTGAATCCCTTTACCCGAGGATCCTTTATGGCAAGGTTAGATGAAATTGGCCAAGTGGTTCTAGAAAAGAAGTCAAAAATGTGAAAAGTATACAGACAGACAGATGGACGACAGACAAAATGTGATGAGAAAACCAGAAAAGCTCAAGTGAGCTAAAAACTTATAATCACAAGTACTTGGAAAGAGTTACAGTATTTGAAAAGCAGTTTTTTTTAGCTCAACTGAGCTGAAAGCTAAAGTGAGCTTTTCTGATCACATTTTGTCTGTAGTCTGTCCGTCCGTCTCTCTGTCTGTCAACTTTTCACATTTTCGACTTCTTCTCCAGAACCACTGGGCCAATTTCAACCAAACTTGCCACAAAGCATCCTTGAGCGAAGGGGATTCAAGTTTCTTCAAATGAAGGGCCACGCCCTCTTTCAAGGGGAGATAATAAAGAATTGGTGAAAAATTAATAGCATCTTTTAAAAATCTTCTTCTCAAGAACCACAGGGCCAGGAAAGATGAAACTCATGTGGAAGCATCCACAGGTAGTGTAGATTCAATTTTGTTCAAATCATGTCCCCTGGGGGTAGGGCGGGGCCACAATGGAGGATCAAAGTTTTACATAGAAATATATAGGAAAAATCTTTAAAAATCTTCTTCTCAAGAAGAGCAAAGCCACGATGAGTCATATTTATATGAAAGCATCCTCAGGTAGTGTAGATTCAAATTTATTCAAATCATGACCCCCAGGGGTAGGGTGGGGCCACAATGGAGGATCAAAGTTTTACATAGAAATATATAGGAAAAATTTTAAAAATCTTCTTCTCAGGAACAGCAAAGCCCTGATTGATCACATTGATATGGAAGCATCATCAGGTAGTGTAGATTCTATTTTCTTCAAATCATGACCTCTGGGGGTAGATTGGCGCCACAATTGAGGATCAAAGTCTGAAATAGAAATATATAGGAAAATATCTTCTTCTGAAGAGCTGCAAAGCAATGATTAGTTATTTTGATATGGAAGCATCATCAGGTAGTGTAGGTCTTTATTCAAGTTTCTTCAAATGAAGGGTCACGCCCTCTTTCAAGGGGAGATAATAAAGAATTGGTGAAAAATTAATAGCATCTTTTAAAAATCTTCTTCTCAAGAACCACAGGGCCAGGAAAGATGAAACTCATGTGGAAGCATCCACAGGTAGTGTAGATTCAATTTTGTTCAAATCATGTCCCCTGGGGGTAGGGCGGGGCCACAATGGAGGATCAAAGTTTTACATAGAAATATATAGGAAAAATCTTTAAAAATCTTCTTCTCAAGAAGAGCAAAGCCACGATGAGTCATATTTATATGAAAGCATCCTCAGGTAGTGTAGATTCAAATTTATTCAAATCATGACCCCCAGGGGTAGGGTGGGGCCACAATGGAGGATCAAAGTTTTACATAGAAATATATAGGAAAAATTTTAAAAATCTTCTTCTCAGGAACAGCAAAGCCCTGATTGATCACATTGATATGGAAGCATCATCAGGTAGTGTAGATTCTATTTTCTTCAAATCATGACCTCTGGGGGTAGAGTGGCGCCACAATGGAGGATCAAAGTCTGAAATAGAAATATATAGGAAAATATCTTCTTCTGAAGAGCTGCAAAGCAATGATTAGTTATTTTGATATGGAAGCATCATCAGGTAGTGTAGGTCTTTATTCAAGTTTCTTCAAATGAAGGGTCACGCCCTCTTTCAAGGGGAGATAATAAAGAATTGGTGAAAAATTAATAGCATCTTTTAAAAATCTTCTTCTCAAGAACCACAGGGCCAGGAAAGATGAAACTCATGTGGAAGCATCCACAGGTAGTGTAGATTCAATTTTATTCAAATCATGACCCCCAGGGGTAGGGCGGGGCCACAATGGAGGATCAAAGTTTTACATAGAAATATATAAGAAAAATTTTAAAAATCATCTTCTCAGGAACAGCAAAGCCCTGATTGATCACATTGATATGGAAGCATCATCAGGTAGTGTAGATTATCCCTTGGATAGGGAGGAGCCACAATAGGGGATCATCAGGAAGTTTAAAATTCACCCCCCCCCCCCCCCCCCCCCCGGCTAATCTTTTCAATACTGAACTGATTTGTGCTTTTGCCTAGCTAATGTGCTCAGGTGAGTGATGTGGCCCATGGGCCTCTTGCCTCTTGTTTTTTCATGCATTGTTTTCAGAAGCTGAAAATGTATTCCATGTCACCATAGTATGACTTTTATCCATGTTAAAAAACTGCACATTTCAGAAAACAGTTTGATAATAAATAGTTATTCAAGGTGTTTTGAGTAGCAAAATAAAGCTAAACTTGTATAGCTAATTCAACCACAGAACTTAATCAATTTTAAGATGCACAACCTTTTCAACTCTTAATCATTCTTAAAATATTTATATCATCATTTCTGATTCAAGGGAGAACTAGAGATATGACCAGAAGTATATATATGTCTGACTAATAAACATGTACATGTATATTGTGTTTGTTTGCTGTTAAATGTCCCTCTTGAGAATTTTTCACTCATATGGAGACACTGCCATTTGAAAATAATGATGACAAGTCAGAAGTGAGGTTAACATTCAAGGAGTTTTTCAACAATAAAGACATGCAGAGATTACTCCTTCCCCTTGCCCCTTCCCCTTCACAGACCCCCTTTTGTTCATGCATGCAAACTAGTACTTTGTTTTGACATAAAAAAAATGTAAATATATACAAATAGTTTAATGGTGCATCTCTCTGAATGATTTTCATTCCTAATTCTAGGAGGGTGGACTGACCCAAAGTCATGAATGGAATGTCAAGCAATCTAAATTATCATTGATGCACTTTTAAATTTGATGCAGGTAATATTGTGAACATTTCCAGTTCAAGAGAGTGGGGATTGCCTCCAGAGGTTCATAACATTTAATACCATTAGATGTGCATAATAACACATAATAACAATAATGTGAAATTCGTCTGTTGTGGCATCCAATGATCTTTGATCCTTTTTAAACTTTAACCTAACTATTTGCATTTCAGGTTATTTTACCCCAGTCTATACCTAAACTTGTACTTACCAACTGTCATAGGTACTGTCAACTTCATGAAATATAATCCAATTAAAACACACAATGAATTAATTCCTACTGATATAGGCCTATGAATCATATATGTACACCATGTGCAATCCAAATGATAATGGTAAAACTAGTACTAGTAGGGTGACACAAGTCTAATGTGATGTAGAAATTTTCAAAAAGGTGTACACATGATTGTATAGTACAAGGACAAATTTTACATTATCATTAAAAACGATGTTTTAACATAACTTTAATTGCTATCTATGCCTATTTCCAAAAACAGGCAAATTGTGTGTGGGGGGGGGGAGGGGGGGACAAAATTGATTGGGTGTGGCTTTTTGAGCAGGTTTTTGCCTACCCAAATACTGAAAATACCGATTTGTTCAATTCTGAAAGTTGAGATCTAAGTTCATCAAAAATGCTTTGCACTAAAATAATATTATTTGTTGTTGAGAAAATAAATGTAAAAAGTTCCAATTATGGGCCAAAAATTTATATCCCCCCTTTTATCAAAACCTAATTATATAATTTACATCATTAATTAAATTCTGTAATTTCAGACTGGTAATGAATTAAGTATATGAAATGCGTATAAGAGGCTCATGGGTCACATGGTCACCTGAGCATTTTATGCTCGATTTGACAAATACATGTTCTGTGTAAATTATAGAATTATTTTGGCTTTTTCCTTGGTTATCCCAATATGAAAGGGTGTGCATTTAGAGGCAAACACCCTAGTGCGGGTATTACTGTCTTATGACAGCATCTAGTTCATTATGAAAATATTAATTTTATATGTACTGATTTCAATTTTTTTTTGATAGGTTACTCACCATTTGCAGTATCCACCAAATACAACAGCAGTTTACTCGTACTTTGAAAGCAGAGGAGGAAAATTTCCATCCACTGTATTCTTTGGTTTGCAGTATATCATTAAGAAGTGGTTAACTGGTCAAGTTGTTACGAAGGAAAAAATAACAGAAGCAAAAGAAGTTTACCACTTACACTTTGGTGAAGACTATTTCAATGAAGCTGGATGGAATTATATTCTTGAGGTATGTAAGATTTCACAGTGAAATGTATTGCACGGGTGTTATATTAGACAGTTTCCACTATATATATAAAGGATATGCAATGTTTTGTAGTATGATATGGAATTTCTACAACCACTTCCCTTGATAAATTAAAGTCCAGGCATTTTGACATCATAGACAGCTGCTTTTTAAAAAAAAATTGAACTTGTAAATTAATTTGCCTTAGTTGTCTTGGTCATCGTTGTAAATTTTTTCACATTTTCATCTTCTCCTCCAGAACCACTAGGCCAATTTCAACCAAACTTGGCACAAAGTATCCCTGGGCAAAGGGGATTCAAGTTTGTTAAAATGAAGGGCTACACCCTTTTCTAAGGGGAGATAAATAAAAAAAAATAGAGAATGAGCTAAATCCATGAAGGGGATAAATTGGTCCAGTCATCAAAATAAGTTAAACTTTCTCACATAATACTCTATGATTTGTATGTTGTAAAACATTTTATTTTTAAAGAATATCTTTTTGGGTTTTCTTTTTACAGTTGTTCAAGTTAAGCATTGTTTTCCTAATCAATACTATCACGTCCTTACATTGACGTTATATACTTTAACGTCGTGATGTTGACATTTTGCATAAGAAAGTAACAAATTAATGGAATAAAGATATAGGCTCTTCTTCAAATTTTTAGGAAAATTTTACTATGAATTTTTCAAGAAGTTCTTAAAACTTTTGGTTTATTTTTTAATTAAAGCTATTTGTACTCTAAAGAAATGCAAAATTTTTATTATATACAGTACCCGCATCGTTATTCTTTACAATTCTATCGTGTCCTATCGTGCGTTTATCCTATCGTATCGTGCGTGTATCCTGTCGTATCGTGCGTGTATCCTATCGTATCCTATCGTATCGTGTTTTCCGTTTATCAGGTTTTGCGTTTTCTATCGTGTTTTCCGTTTATCAGGTTTTGCGTTTATCGTGAAGATCGTTTATCAGGTTCTATCGTGTATCGTGTTTTGCGTTTATCGTGTGCGTTCGGAAACCCTCGCTTTTTATCTTTACCTTGAAAAGAAACACCCGAGATATCTCGAGTTCATCTTTCGTTTTGTTAATTTATTTAGGATTAATCTAACTGTTGAACAAAAAGAGAAATTAATACTCTAACTCTGGTATATTTTTTAAAGAAAATAAATAAATAAATAAACGTCAAGTACCGTCACCAATCAGAGAGCATAAATCAAAAGTCAAATTCTATTTTTGTACATGAAATAATCGATCTACTATTTGAGTCATTCGGTTTTTTTTTTAAATTTGTCGATATGTAAGAAATATTTTTGTCAAAGATAGAAATATTATAATCCCTTTACACAGTCAGAGTCACAAAAGCGAGACCTTTATTAACTTTGTTTTGATAATTATAGAAACATAAAACATTAGGTATGTGTGCAAAAAATAAATTATGAATAAAAAAAATATCAGTATCTTTATTAAGGCTATCCTTTTTATCAATAACGGAAACATAAATTCTATGCGCGCAAGTTTTGTTGTTCCTTTGTATTATTATTTTTCTCTGATAAGTATATATTATAATATAGATGTTTGCCATTCATATTTAACTACTGCATTTAGAAGATGTAAAAAATAAATAAATAAATAAACAAAACCACTCAAATTTTTATTATACATCTTACCTACTTCGGAGCGGAGATGAAGTAATATATACCGTAACTTAGTGACACGTGGAAGCGCTCCCGTGACAAGAGAACTGACACCTACCTGCCTAATCAGTACACTGTCATCTTGTCAAGTCAAGACGCCCTCCCCTTTCCCCTACATGACCGGCCCGTGTGTATTCAACGTAGACATACCTGAACTCTAGCTCTCACCTGGTGTCAAGTATTTACCTTGAACCCTACTGGGTTTCAATGAAATGCATCTACTTATTTTCTGGATATTGTTCATAATTTTTATGAACAACACTTAATTATCAATTAAAGATTTTATACTAAGAAAATTGGTAAATGTACACTTCCGTTATAGATTAAGAATTGAATAATTGAATCAAATAAAATATAGGTGAGGTTTGTCCTCCAAACTCCGTTGATTTAGTTCATTTGTATATTTTTATGTAATTTTTATAGGTTTACAGTCATAAACATGATTGGTGTGATCAAATAAAAAAATGCGCTTGCGGTACTTCTGGATCTTAGGGTTTTCTGTGTTGTCTGTCGTTGTTACATGTAAAGGCGTCTCAAAGACACATGAAAAAAAAATCGCCTGGTTCTGCGGTGATACACAAGACTGGTAAATACCTTGTATTTAATTTTATTCGTGTTTAATGATTGCGTATAATACGTGACCATATTGAAGAAGTCAATATATATTTTTATTTTATTTTATTATTATTTTTTTTTTTGGCTTTTTGAATCGGATTTTTTGGGGGAGGGGGGGGGATGGACTCCCCCTTCCCCGCTGACTGTGCCTCAAATGGGGTTAAGACTTTCATAATTTACAAAGTTTTGTCTAATTTTGCCGATGTCGTCCTATATAAGATAAGTTTTGTAACAATTATTACAAAGTCTAATAGCAATAATTGACAATTATTCAATCCGAAAATCCACTTGTCAAATTGTGGAAATTGATTTATTATTAATTTTTGTGTGTGTGTTCTAATATGTTGTAAACAAGTGTACGTAACCATTCAATGTTATTTAATACAAAGTTTAAGTACCCAATAAATATATTCATATACATTGTAAGCTTAGTTTACACGTACCTATAGTAGATACAAATTCTGTTATTGTAAATGCTTATAACACAAGCACGCTAAGAAAGCAATATCATTTCTTTGGGGGCGGCTGGGGGGAGGGGGGTGGGGTCTAAAAAGAAATGTTTTGAAAAGCAAACAAAAATGGCTAAAGGCATTATTATTGTGGATCGGCAATATTATATCAGCATTATATTACTACTCTATAATACACGTGCTGGTACACTGTAACATTTTTTTTTATTTATACGACTGCATGCTCCCTTCTAGCTTAATCTTAAAGGCCTATAAAAATACCAAAATAAATACAAAAGAATGGAAATGCGATATTTTTTCGGATAATAGATGATGACAGATCTAGTGACGTTTATTAATTTTATTAAATTCGATTTTTTTCGCAGGTCTCCTTTCTCATTTATACATATACAATGTATGTACTTGGAATGTACTTGGAATATGTAAATAATTTCTATGTGCACGGGATACATGTATGTGTGACATATATATTTATATATATTCACAGTCCAGTGCACGGTCTGTCTCAATGCAACTAGCAATTTCAGCAATTCAAAAACGTAAAAAAAAAAATAATTAATTTATATAAAATATAAAATTAATCAAATTCGCAAAAACTTGTAGGAGAAAGCATTAACCTTAAAATAATTATAACAATAATTTTTCAATCCCCCCCCAAATTATGACTAATATTTTTTTTGTAAGATTTGAATTATTAAATACAAACTATTAAAGGCGATTTTGGATACTTCGCAGACTTCTAGCAAAAGATATTGAATCCAAATATTTCATTTTTTATTTACAAGTTTTTCTGTAAAAATAATCAATGTTTGTTATGAATTTCATAAGGTTTTATTTGTTAAAATAATGAATATATTTATAGCGTTTCGTGAATTTATTGCACTTGGGCGTAAAACTTCGCTTGTCTACGGACTCAAAATTCAAATTTAACGATTCGAAGGAATTTCGACATTTGTATAATTACATAACAAAAAAAAATCGCCTAATTTCCATCATAGAGTGGAATTATTCTTAAAATAATTACAGTTGGAATTTGATGACGATCAATTTTATTGACAAAAACACCATATCTTTTACAAAGCATACTTACTTTAAAATGTTTTATCATGACAAATTTAAAATGTTTTATCATTTCGATTTGCGGCTTTGTAAGTAATTAAAATTATCATACTATAGTATATCAAAAAGAAAACTTTTCGTCTTGTCAAAAAACGTTTCGTATTTTGAAACAATCCTATCAGGTTTTGCGTTTATCCTATCGTGAAGATCGTTTATCAGGTCTATCGTGTTTTGCGTTTATCGTGTTTTGCGTTTATCCTATCGTGCGTGTATCCTGTCCTATCGTGCGTGTATCCTATCGTATCGTGCGTGTATCCTATCGTATCGTGCGTGTATCCTATCGTATCGTGTATCCTGTAAAGAATAACGATGCGGGTACTGTACAACAGGATGTCTGGTAAAATCGTAGATGCATGTAACACAATTTAAATGAAAATAAGGAACAACAAACACAACGTGTTAATCTATCATATTTGAGTAATACTGAATTTATTGTAGTAAAATATAGACTATAGAAGCCATGGATAAGGATTTTATCATTCTTAAATGTGTTATTGTATGGTCCTACGGCGTACAAACAAAAAGTAGACATTTTATTAGAGAGTACACAAGTAACTTTAAGACCAACTTACTTGCATCATTATTGATATTGGGATGCACACTAACTAGAAAAAGATTTGGTTTGAAATTTGCCTTTCCAGTGAATAACACTAGATGAAAACCCACTCAAGTTTGGGGAGTTTACTTATACCACTATTGACAAAACAATTCTAATTCTACTGAAGGTGAATTACAGGCATATAGCAGGAAGAAATACTGCATTCAAAATCCTGCAGTTAGTTTGGAGCAGAAGTAGCTAACACCCTCCTTTTGTTTTTGTAAAGACTTGAAAAATACCAATTTCATGAATTGATGTTATCTCTTTACATGTTAAAAACTTCACTTGATAGCTGTTGTATGTACATACTGTCATATTGTACTTGATACCTGTTGTATGTACATACTGTCATATTGTACTTGATACCTGTTGTATGTACATACTGTCATATTGTACTTTGATTGCTGTTTCCATCTTTGACAAGGATAATAATTGATGATGATTGAACAATATTTTATGGACTTATCATAAGCTGTGGCAGTGCACTTTATTTAACATGATACTGGATACATAATTTTTGGAAAATAAAATTTAAAGGAAAGAAGTTTCTTTAGAAAGCACTAATTAAGATATTTTATTTGCAGCACCACAATGGTTGTCTTCCTGTGAGAATAAGAGCAGTCCCAGAGGGATCTGTTGTGCCTTACAAAAATGTTCTTTTTACTGTGGAAAACACAGACCCAAAATGCTTCTGGCTGACAAATTATCTAGAGGTACATTTACAATATTATACTGAAAAGTCAGTCTAAAGTTTCTCTTTGTCGGAGCTTAAAACCTTCCTTAAGATAAGAGATGGAGAGTAAACAAACATTGAGGGACATAAAAAAAACTAGGCAGATTAATGTTTATGATTTAATTTTTAAAAAAATTTCTCCTTGATATTTAGAAGACAAAAACTTGTATTTAAATGTACTTAAATATTCATTTATGTTGATCAAAGTTCTTCTTCTGCAGACACTCCTTGTGCAAGTATGGTATCCTATGACTGTTGCTACAAATTCAAGATACCAAAAAGAAACAATTGCAAGCTATTTACATGAAACAGCTGACAGTCTGGATTCCCTTCCATTTAAACTTCATGACTTTGGATTCCGTGGTTCAACGTCAGTTGAGGTAAGCAGGGTGTGATTTACATATGTATCTAGGGTTGGACACTGGTGTTTTAAGTAAGGATTTCCCCCATTAGTTAGTCCCCCCCCCCCCCCCCAATTCTATTGAAGGGGGTGAGAAATCCTACTCTAGAGCAGACTTTTCATGGGGGAATTCTATTCTAGAGTGATTTTGAGCTCTAGTGGTCAGAGACTAGAAGAAAGTAAGGTGTACATCATCCATCTGTCTGTATCCTTTATATATCCTCAAGTGGTTTTCATTAAAGAAATGACCATCATAGAAAAACATTTGTTACTTTTGACCACTTTTACTGTGACATGATAACTCTGATAGATGTAACACATACATAATTATAAGAGTGATTCCTTCCTTTATGTACTGCATTGCTGTACTAAGTACACTTGTCTCTATCCTTTGACCATCCTTATGGACCCCTCTCTGACTTTATCAGTTTTCTAGTTTCATATAATTTTAATGCAGTTGAGTTGATTGTACACAACTAAATCATTTGAGTACTTTCAAAAAAAATATAACAAGATTGATTGATTACCATTTAACGAGGTTCGCTCCTGAGCTTTTCAGCAGATTTTTATCCTAACCTATATTTCAAAAATTCTGCATAATGTTCTAATTCTAACAATAAATTTGGATTCTACAATGCCAGTTGCGGAAGGTTTTTTAGAAGGAAAAAGATCATTTTTCTCTTTCGAAGTATTTAAAGTATGTTAAGTTTGGATTCCTATTTTTACGTGCAGTCTTCACACATACAGTCCCTGAAACGTTCTACTTTCCCATTTTTCCGTTCGTTCACCGTTCGTTCACCGTTTGTTCAGCGTGCATTCACCGTTCGTTCACCGTGCGTTCACCGTTCACTCTCCGTTCACAGTTTTGCATTCAGCGTTCACCGTGCGCTTGCGTTCACCATTCACAAAGCGTTCAGCGTTCGCTCTTCATTCGTTCACTTTGCGTTCACCTTGCGTTCACCGTTCACTTATTGTTCAGTCTTTATTGTCATTCGGAACTCCGAAGTGAATGGACTTATCTTTTTTAGCTCACCTGAGCCGAAGGCTCAAGTGAGCTTTTCTGATCAAAATTTGTCCGTTGTCTGTCGTCGGCGGCGTCGTCGTCGGCGTCGTTGTTGTCGTAAACTTTTCACATTTTCATCTTCTTCTCCAGAACTACTGGGCCAATTTCAATCAAACTTGGCACAAAGTATCCTTGGGTGAAGGGGTTTCAAGTTTGTTCAAATGAAGGGCCACGCCCTCCTCCAAGGGGAGATAATTACGAAATAACAAAAAATTAATGGCATTATTGAAAAATCTTCTTCTCAAGAACCAGTGGGCCAGGAAAGATGAAACTCATGTGGAATTATTGTCAGGTAGTGTAGATTCAAATTTGTTCAAATCATGACCCCCGGGGATAGGGTGGGGCCACAATGGACGATCAAAGTTTTACATAGGAATATATAGGAAAAATCTTCAAAAATCTTCTTCTCAAGAACAGCAAAGCTATGATTGGTCATATTTATATGGAAGCATCCTCAGGTGGTGTAGATTCAAGTTTGTTCAAATCATGACCCCTGGGGGTAGGGTGGGGCCACAATGGACGATCAATGTTTAACATAGGTATACATAGGAAAAATCTTCAAAAATCTTCTTCTCAAGAACAGCAAAGCTATGATTGGTCATATTTATTTGGAAGCATCCTCATATAGTGTAGATTCAAGTTTGTACAAATCTTGACCCCCGGGGATAGGGTGGGTCCACAATGGACGATCAAAGTTTTACATAGGAATATATAGGAAAAATCTTCAAAAATCTTCTTCTCAAGAACAGCAAAGCTATGATTGGTCATATTTATATGGAAGCATCCTCTGGTGTTGTAGATTCAAGTTTGTTCAAATCATGACCCCGGGGGTAGGGTGGGGCCAAAATGGACGATCAGTTTAACATACATGTAGGTGTACATAGGAAAAATCTTCAAAAATCTTCTTCTCAAGAACAACAAAGCTATGATTGGTCATATTTATTTGGAAGCATCCTCAGGTGGTGTAGATTCAAGTTTGTTCAAATCATGACCCCCGGGGGTTGGGTGGGGCCACATTGGACGATCAAAGTTTTACATAGGAATATATAGGAAAAATCTTCAAAAATCTTTTTCTCAAGAACAGCAAAGCTATTATTGGTCATATTTATATGGAAGCATCCTCAGGTGGTGTAGATTCAAGTTTGTTCAAATCATGACCCCCGGGGGTAGGGCAGGGCCACAATGAACGATCAAAGTTTTACGTAGGAATATATAGGAAAAATCTTTAAAAATCTCAAGAACAGCAGAGCCACGGTTTTTCATATTTATACGGAAGCATCCTCATATAGTGTAGATTCAAGTTTGTTCAAATCATGACCCCCCCCCCCCCCCACTCCCTTTTTAGGGGTAGGTTGGGACCACTTATGCATTTAAGCTTTTCAATACTAAACTGATTTTTCCTTTTTTCCTAGCCACAGTGCTCAGGTGAGCGATGTGGACCTTGGGCCTCTTGTTTAAGTAAGGATTTACAAATTTAATAATTAACATATCGTGTTGAAAGAAATAATTATCTACAATATTTAAGGTCTTCCGTCTTCAGCGGAAGACCTTACTGTTATTCTTAGGTTTCTTTTCCACTATTTTTATTAGGGTCTTCCGTCTTCAACGGAAGACCCTTCTATTATTCTTCGGTTTCTTTTTCACCTTTATTAGGGTCTTCCGTCTTCAGCGGAAGACCCTCCTATTATTCTTCGGTTTCTTTTTCACCTTTATTATTATTTTTATTCTTTTTTCTTCTTACAAAATTTGTGCAGACGATTTCTCGGAGATGGCTTGTTTGATTATATTCAAATTTTCATGGTAGATGCGTTGTCGTCTGAAGTTAATTCCGGCAATTTCGTTAAGAGATATTTATTTCCGGTGGGAAGTTAATGCCCTTTTATTAAAATTCAGAGGACCTCCTTGTCTGTGATGGAACTAAAAAACGGCTTAAGCAAGAGCGCTGAAATTTTCAGTGATGATAGAGGACATGTTGCCATTTTGCACCTGGGTTTGAATATTTTCCGGAAGTGCTTAGTATGGAAGCACGGTAGGGGTCGAAATTTAGGACACGAATCATGAATGAATTTTTGAGACATTTTGTATCATATCTTTTAAAGTATAATTATTTTGTTAAATCATACTGAACAATATTTGTGCAAATGTTTATCTCAACAATTTCCAACAATATATTATGATATTCACATCATATGTTACATAATTAGGGGCCATTAGGGACCAGAATGCTAAATCTTTGACGCTTTATATCTCAAAAGTGGGAAATATTTTGATAAGCAATATTGAACAAAAGATGTTCAAAATAATGTTCTGAACAATACGCAACCTTTCATTTTTTGCTAAACGTCCCCATTAAGGAGTTGAAGGGCCGGCCCCTAAATATTTCTTTTGCAAATATCTCAGAAACGAAAAAGAATTTCTGACTAGTTGTTGAACAAAAAGTGTTCAAAATCATGAGAGCTTTAAAGTGATATAAAGAAAAAGGGGCTGGCCCATCATAATAGGGGCTGAAAGGGGCCGAAAGTCTTTGAACAATAACTCTTTAACGATCAATATTTTGTAATGCATTACTGAAGCAAAAATGTTTATCTCAACAATTTACAACTATATATTACAATATACATATCATATGCTACATTTATTTTGATAAGCAATATTGAACAAAAGATGTTCAAAATAATGTTCTAAACAATATGCAACCTTTCATTTTTTGCTAAACGTCCCCATTAAGGAGTTGAAGGGCCGGCCCCTAAATATTTCTTTTGCATATATCCTGGAAACGAAAAAGAATTTCTGAATAGTTGTTGAACAAAAAGTGTTCAAAATCATAAGAGCTTTAAGGTGATATCAAGAAAAAGGGACTGGCCCCTCAAAATCGGGGCCGAGAGGGGCCGAAAGTCTTTCATCAATAACTCTTAAACGATCAGTATTTTGTAATACACTACTAAGGCAAAATAGATCATCTTCATACTCCTTAACTATATAACGTGTTGTCATCATATGTTACGTTATAAGTGGACATTAGGGACATTAGCAGAATGCAAAATCTTTGACGCTTTATATCTCAAAAGTGGGAAATATTTTGATAAGCATTATTGAATAAAAGATGTTCACAATATTGTTCTGAACAGTATGTTACCTTTCAACTTTTGCTAAAAAGAGGGCCCGGCCCCTAGTATTTCTTTTGCATATATTTTGGAAATGAAAAAGAATTTTAGAATAGTTGTTTTACAAAAAGTGTTCAAAATCATAAGAGCTGTAAGAAGATATGAAGAAAATAGGGCTGACCCCTCAAAATAGGGGCCAAAATGGACCGAAAATATTTAATCTATAATCTTTAATGATCAATATTTTGTTAAAGATTACTGAAGCAAAATTGCTCCTTTTAACAATTTATTTATATCATTATATTTGAACGAAAGTCTCAGACAAATTCTGATCTCATCTTATCAAAAATCGGACGGAAGACCCATTCGTTGCTCGCAACGAGATCGCATCTAGTTATTATTATTAAGGTCTTCCGTTCCAACGGAAGACCTTCTGCTGATTCTGATGGTTAAGATTATTATTCTTTTTTTTTTTCTTCTTTTTCCTAGACGCCAACTTTGAGACCTCATATCTCGCTCATTTCTCAACGGATTTTGCTCAAATTTGCAGAGTTTATAGACGTTACAAAACTCTATCAGAATGCTGTTAAACAGTTCAAAAAGTCACTTCCGCTTTTGAGTTATTGCCCTTTAAATGAAAATTTATTAGGCTTCATTTCCAGACAAAGGCTCCGAGACTACAAAAGCTGGAGCAGAAATTCTACCGAATTTAGATAATAGAAGGATTGAAGTTGTGCACATCGGTTTTTGTTTTTCGATTTCTGTATTCAAAATGGCGCTAATAAGGGGTCAAAATTTAGAATGCCTAAAAGA